ACACACACACACACACACACACACACACACACACACACTGTCTGAGAGTGTGTTTAGTTATTGAGTTGCAGCTCTGGAAGTTAATGGTGTGCTTGAGTGAAATTCGGCTGGAAACAGGAAAATCTCTGGAGACGCAGAATATATTACACTCTCAATAGAGCCTTAATAAAAGATCCACACAGAATGTTTTGTTTTGCAAAAACAATGTTTGCAAAACAAAACAAAACACAAAAAAACAAACCAAACCAAACACACACACACACACACACACACACACACACACACACACACACACACACAGACACACAGTAAGCTGCTGAAGGCCGAACAGAGACACGTTTCAGCTTCTTTCAGGGTTTACAGTGTGTGTGAGACAGGTGTCGTTCACTACACGGCTCAGGTTTGATGTTTGTTCCCAGAACATTGCCGTGAGCCTCAGAGACGTTTGTCTTTTAAATCACCGTCTTATCCATCTGTCTGTAATGTTTTAAGTGTGTGTTGGTTTATCTGATGATGTAATCTTGCAGTTCGTACCAGTAACAGAGAGACAGACAATCAGCTCAATCGGTTCAATGCATGAGAACTACAATTCCCATAATGCTCTTGGGGTCGCAGCGCTCTGTGTGTGTAGCGCACACTAGCGGCACGTCTGTGAATCTCTCACACAGCCTCTTCATTCTCTCTCTTCATCTGCTCTTTCACACGCCCCGCTCTTTAATTCATCTTTTCCCTCTTTTTATGTAGACCATTATTTCCATTTTTGGCCCTATTTCCTCCAGCTGTCTCTCTCTCCTGTCTGTCATTCTGTGGTCGATTTATGAATATTGCTCTTTTCTCCTCCCCTGCTGTCTGCCCCACTTAAACACAGCGAGAGATCACCAAATTAATTCACTTACAATGAGCTTTTGTGTGTGTGTGTGTGTGTGTGTGTGTGTGTGTAAGGGCACAGTGGAGCTCTACTACATTTGCATGACCTAAAAATGCCCTTCTACCAATTTTACCCCATTCATCCATGAAGAAAGATAGACAGAACTACAGAACGATCGATAGATAGAACAATAGATAGATAGAACGATAGATAGATAGACAGACAGACAGACAGATAGATAGATTGATAGATAGATAGATAGATAGATAGATAGATAGATAGAAGGACAGAAGCACAGACAGATAATGCAGGTAGACAGATGAACACTGCCAGTGTGAGATCTCAGCAGTGACTGAAGCTTTAGTGTATCAGCAGTCGCACGCGTCACATTGAGTCCCGTGAGATCGTCCCACACGCTCACTGTCACCTGCTCTCAATTTCATCTCAAATAAACATCCAGCAGACTCCAAACGCACTCACAATAAATATAGACACAGGGAGATGCAGCCATGAGCCGAACACACACACCGCTGCCACTGGAAACTCTCGAAATGTAGTTAAATTACAGAGACACAGAGTGCTGAGTAAATGTATAACACGTCTCCTGTGTGGATGTCTGAATTAATACAGAACACGTTAATTAACCAAGAGCTTTTCAGCAGTCAGGAACCATCACGGCAGGGACCAGACAGCCGAACGACACTCAGCTGTTTCTGAAGACAGACAGACAGGAAGAGAGAGAGAAAGACAGTTTGAAATTATTCCGTGATGGAAACTGTTTCCTGTTGGTTCATTTGTGCTCTGCTCATTTGAGAAACCGTGAGCTTCGCTCTCACAGCGCTCTGACAGAATGGTGTCAAACCTGCGCGTGTGTGTGTGTGTGTGTGTGTGTGCAGGCAGGTACACACACAAACGCACAAGGCAGGGAACAGTTTGTGCGGCTGCATGCTCAAACTCTTCAGCACAGAGCTGTTAATTAGTACCAGGGCCAAAATTAGCACACAAAAGTGAAGCGTTTGAGGACAGAAAATATTCACCATCAAAGAGTTTCCACTCAACACAGAGATCTGAAGAGAGAGAGAGAGAAAAAACAGCTGGTGATGAATTCTGCAACCATTTGGTTGTTGTGAAATGAAATATCGTTACCTCCATGTGCTGTACTTTTCAAAAAGCGAGTGGTTACAAACTGAACCAGATGCGGGGTGTTTCTGGTCAAAGACAAAGCATCTCTAAAAGACCTCTTCAGATGACACAGCACTTATTACACTTCTCCAAATTGCTTTACAAATAAAAAACCCACAGAGGCAGTACTAAGGTACAGTGATGTATCAGATGGAAATATCGGTCATGCATATCACTGATAAAATATTGTCAAGGAAATGTAACATTCCTTACTACTATATCAATGAATTATTTTGTTTTTAAAAGTCTGCATGAAAAATAGGAATGCATCTCTCACCTGTCCTGCCCATCCACACTATTTGTGTAAATGCACAAATATCTGAACGTACAGTGGTAAATTATGATATGCCACAAAGCTCTGTATTAGGTCCTTTTCTCTTTTTCTTGTTCATGCTTGCAGTGGGTGATTCATTAGGGCTGAATGGGGTTAGTTTTCATTGCGTCATTGTATTTTAAGAAGAAAAGTGTGACATTTGATATATATACAAAAGTATCATTAACTGGAAAATGATATATTTATAGTAATTTCTATACTTTATCATCTAATAATATACATATTTTGCGCTCATACACCTGTGACCTAACTGATTTGTTTATTTGTATTTTATCTGTAAACGGTGTAAATTTTATGGGTATGTGTGGAAAATTAACATTTGTGTAATCTTTTTTGACAGTATTGCAGATCATATGATCAACAAAATAAAAACTGTATTTATTTGTATGTACATCTAGTGAGACGTGTATATTTACTCGATTCAAAATCTGAGGACACTGACGTGACTGCAGGAGGAATTACTTTAGACAGGAGTCCGTTAGCATGGCAGTTTTAACTCTAAATCACTAATCTCGTTATGCACACTAATTAATGAGTTTTCTAAGAGGGTGGTGCTAAAGTCTTTGTTGGCCATGCTAATACAAGGACTGATTAGTTCTGTGAATAACACAGAGGGGAGAAACTTTGATCTGAAGAATAAACAGATCCGTCCGCATAATTAGTTGTGAATCTAAATAAAACGCTAAGCTCCGGGGACTCACATGAGAAAACAGAACGAGAGTGTGGAAAGGACTTTGTTTAATGCTGTTTTATCTCATTGTCCTTGGAGACCAATTGCTCAGGTCTGACAGTGTGAGGAGCTCCCGCATCTAATCAGTCAATCAATCAGTCAATCATCAGCTGTCATGTAGACAGACAAACTACTGTAATGAAGCACACAGAGGCCTGTTTACACCTGGTCACGTGAGACAGATTGCTGTTTACACTTCAGGGTAGCGCATTGAATATGATGTGATTAAAGATGAGGCTGCGTGGGATGGCAGGAAACTCAAGGGTGTTGGATTGTGATGATTAGATGTGATTTAGGACATGGTCCTGCTTTGATGAGAATAAGTGCAAACAACAGCACACAAGCAAGTCCAAAATCAACATGTGCCAAGCCAAATGTAAGGAAAAATTGGCTTTGGCAAATCCAACAAAAAAGAATAACTCTCCAGTTCTCTGCAACATAATACATAGTTTAAAATATACTGTAAGAACGATTGTGGTACTGATGTAAAGGACTCAAATCAAACAGTCTACTGAAGACGTTATCTTGAACTAGCAATTGTGAGAAATGATGTCTAAATTTATTGTGTTTTTGAAAACAGTGGGTAATGTATCATCAGATGTAGACATGTAACACATTTCTGTTTTGTTCTTGTCTTCCAGGTGAGATTCTGAGGAGTTTTATTCTTTCATTCCTCTGGCCGGAGACAGCTCAGATGACGAGGGTTTCATGAACGGTAAGACTGAAATCCAAATGCATCTGATGCTGGAAACTGTGTATCATGGCTCTAGCTTGGGGAAATCATATTTTCAGCTCCAAAATATAGAATGTGATTTAAAACACTTTAAACACTTTAAAATGTAAAAAAAAAAAGTGCAGCGTGAACCCAGCACGTTCACTAATGTTAGATTGACGGTTGTGTGGCAAAATGGCTAAAGCTATAGAGTGCAGAGCGACGCAGTGTTGGAATATAAAGACCGATTGTTTATCAACAAACAAACGAGCAATAATAAACTGAATGGCCTAAAAAAAAATTCACATGCTTTGTACAGCCACTGAAACTCCTTTGATTGACTCCTTATCACCTACACATAAAAGACAGAGCACAGTTCTGATGATATACAGTATTTTGACATTCAAAGTAATTCGATTCAGTATCTTTATGGATACAATATTGTTTGCGAGGCATCAGGCATTTCCATCACACGACATAATGACTTTATCGATACAATAAAATATACACAAACCTTTATTTCACCAAGAAATGCACAAATTCAGCTGAGAACTACACTGTGCAACACAAAAACTAAATAAGCAAAAATAAACCAATAAAATGATGCAATAGACTCAACCCAGTGTTTGCGTAGAAAAAAAAATACCCTGCATTTTTAGAGTGTAGTCTTTTGAAGTCTGTATGCTGGAGCAGAGATCATTAAAAATGTGTTTATATGCTTGAATGACCATTTACAACCTGAAAAAAACCTTGCCTTGTCACAAAACGTCACATATAATGTATGTTTATGAAATAATCGTATCACATCATTTTCAGTAAAGTACTAAATAATCTCTTGCCGTGTCCTACTTAATGTGTGCACACACACGTTATGTTATATATACATGTATATTATGTATTATGTTATGTTATGGTATCATAATAAACATACAGTTATTCGCTTAAAACCAAAATAAATAAATAAATAAATTCCAAAAATATCCACAACACCTTCATTTACACTAATATTACACTTAAGAAAAAAATAAGTAAGTAGATAAATAACACTCACACAAACATCCTGCGTTTAAGGATGTTTGAGAAAACAAAATAACTGTAAGTTCATCGACTGTCTGTGTCACAAATATGACTATAAACAGAACATACATTGCATGGGGTGTTTGTGAACTCAGTCCAGCAGAATTATACTGATAAAACTCATATTAACACAAAAGTTAAATAATTTTATTAAAAACATGTTCGTCATACAGTATGTTTTGAATCATGGCAGCTGGTTTAAACTGGTCCAGAGCTTGTTATCAGCTGGTTATCAGCTGGTTTAAGCTGGTCCTGAGTTGGTCATGGGCTGGTTTAAGATGGCCCTGAGCTGGTTATAAGATGGTTATCAGCTGTTTTAAGATGGTCCTTAGTTGGTCATGGGCTGGTTTAAGCTGGTCCTGAGTTGGTTATCAGATGGTTTAAGCTAAGCCTGAACTGGTTATCAGCTGGTTTAAGCTGGTCCTGAGCTTGTTATAAGCTGGTTATCAGCTGGTTTAAGATGATCCTGAACTGGTTATCAGCTGTTTTAAGCTGGTCTTGAGCTGGTTTAAGGTGGTCCTTAGTTGGTCATGGGCTGGTTTAAGCTGGTCCTGAGTTGGTTATCAGCTGGTTTAAACTAAGCCTGAACTGGTTATCAGCTGGTTTAAGCTGGTCCTGAACTTGTTATAAGATGGTTTAAGATGGTCCTGAGGTGTTTATAAGCTGGTTATCAGCTGGTTTAAAGCTGTTCCTAAGCTTGTTATAAGCTTGTTTAAGATGGTCCTGAGGTGGTTATAAGATGGTTATCAGCTGGTTTAAGCTGGTCATGTGCTGATCCTAAGCAACTAGCTCCTGCTTAGGACCAGCTTATAACCAGCTCAGGACCAGCTTAAACCAGCCCATGACCAACTAAGGTCCAGCTTAAACCAGCTGATGACCAGATGCCATGCTTAAAAACATACCTAACCAGCATATGCTGTTTTTTCAACAGGATAGACATGAATCGTATGAAGAAATGAATGTAGAAATGGACAGATAAATAACTACAGAAATGAAACTAAGAGCTTCTAGATCTGACAAGCAGACACGTGTGTGTTTCTGTTCTCAGTAACCTGGCCGTCTGTGTGTGTGTCTCAGGTGCGGTCTGGCTCGCAGTGTGTTGTGAGGATCCAGATGGAACCTGTGTGAACCTGCGGGTGGCAGCGAGTGTAAGTCCAGTGAACAAACACTGAAAACACAAATTCACGTCTAACTCACTCCAGCGCTGACACAGAGTCCCGCAAAAACATGAAATAATGCATTGTTCACTTACTGTACATTTATAATCAAGATCAGTGTTTCTCATCACATAGCTGAGAACCGCATCTGTGCAGTGTGTTTGTGTGTGTGTGTGTGTGTGCATGGAAATGACTGACTTAAAGCTAAAGATAGTAAGAGAAGAGTCATTTCAGAGGTTTGAGTCCGTTTGATGCTCTTCAGCTTCAACCTGCTGATGTAGGCCTTGATACAGAATCAAACACACACACACGCATCTGATAGGTCTTAATAGCGCCATTAGACCTGATCGTAATTAAACTGATGATCTGTTTTAATTCACGTCTAGTGTCAGAAAGAGAGATGTAGTGTGTTATTTTGTTTTTCCACAACCTGGCAACTGAACAGTGTCTTTTCTTCAGAGCATCTTTATCGTTTGATTTCTGTGTAGAGTTGCGTTTGCCTCTCATTATTTACACTACATGCGTGAATCTGTGGGTGGGGCTAAACAGGCAGTGATGTAGAATATGTGGGCGGGGCTAAGCAGGCAGTGATGTAGAATCGGTGGGCGGGGTTAAACAGACAGTGGTGTAGAATCGGTGGGCAGGGTTAAACAGACAGTGGTGTAGAATCGGTGGGCAGGGTTAAACAGACAGTGGTGTAGAATCGGTGGGCAGGGTTAAACAGACAGTGGTGTAGAATCGGTGGGCAGGGTTAAACAGACAGTGGTGTAGAATCGGTGGGCAGGGTTAAACAGACAGTGGTGTAGAATCGGTGGGCAGGGTTAAACAGACAGTGGTGTAGAATCGGTGGGCAGGGTTAAACAGACAGAGAATCGTTAGGCGGGGTTAAACAGGCAGTGATGTAGAATCTGTGGGCGGGGTTAAACAGGCATTGATGTAGAATCTGTGGGCGGGGTTAAACAGGCAGTGATGTAAAACAAGGTACAAAAGCTGTCAAATTTCTCTGACTTGTTAAATATATATATATATATATATATACAAAACACACAAACACTACATGTAAACATCATTGCAGGACCCCCCCCCCTCCAAAAAAAAGTGCTCAAAATCCTTCATTTGTGGTTCTGAAGTTTTAGAGAAGTTGCCGTTCTTATATATACACTTTAGTCTCAGTTGCTTGATGAAAATATTTACATTTTAATATAATTTAATATGTTTTTAAGTGTAGTGGGAAAATGAAAATAATAATAATAATAATAATAATAATAATAATAATAATAATAAATCAGTCTTTGAACAGTTTCTTCTTGCTCATTTTTAAATGGCTTTTGTATAGAGCTCTTATTGTTTCACTCTGTTCCAGAGTAACTGAGATTCAGCGTGCACTTTTAAATGCTGATAATTAAATAATTATTAAATCTTTAATTATTGAAGACTATTTACTCAGTAAAATGTGACATGCTTAGCAATGTAGAGCTAAATAAAGCATGCTACTGTAACCTAGGCTCATATTATGACGTTTATTAGCTGTTTGTTTTGTTATTATGACTGCTGACAGAATTACAGTCAAACAGATGCTGTCAAAACAAGGTTTCTGGTGAAAAATGAATATAAAAGTGTCTTAAAGTATTCGTCATTAATATCAAAGCAGCTGAAAATTTCATTGGTGAATCGACAGACATCTGTGTTTTTAAGTCGTTTGAAATGATAATGAGAACAAGCATGCAAACGTTCTCTACATCATGAGTTTATTTCCATCTCGTGTTTGTTTCTCTTTTAATGCGCTCTGTTCCTGTAGCTGCGTCTGACACTAAACTTTTAAATTCTTTCTTTATTTAAAATGTTTCTCTGGAGCGGAGGTCACATCTAAAGACACACACACACACACACACACACACACACACACACAGACTTCTGTTTTAATATTGAGCTAATGATATTTGCTCGGTCTTGACTTTAAACCCCAGCACTAACCTTTCACATTAAATAGTTATTAATAATATTATATAGAGCTGATGATCTTTGCTCTATCGTAGCCTAACTCTCACACAAACCTTTCTGCATTTCCATATTTTCATTAAGAGTGCATATTACATTCATTTTGATTTGGTTTTGATAAGGGCTCAACATGCACATGTGATAATCGTGTGATGAATGGTGTTGTAGTGCAGCTGTCATCATGAGCTCCACCAGCAGATGTCAGTGTAACACCACTGAACACACACACACGCACGCACACACACGCACGCACGCACGCACGCACACACACACACACACACACACACACACACACACACTATTCCTGCAGTGCTCTGTGTGCTGATGTTCTTTTATATGTCCGGAGGCTTCAGACTAGCTACTTGATTTTCAGAAATAAGCAGTTTACAGTTTACACATGGCTAAAAACGCAGAACAACATTCAATACTAAATGAAAACTGGAATCTACTTATAGACAGCATCACCTGACAACAGTGTATCATAGCATACTACCTTTAGAATGCTGTTTCAGTCTGTAGTATGTACTGTGCAGTGTTCAGTGAGCGAGGGATCTATTCTGAACACACGTTTGGAACACTTGACCTTCTCTGTCCAGCCTGACGAATGAACCACAGACGATACCAACTGTGATTTTTCATTCTTAACTAATAATTTAGTAAAGTAAATGGTATGCCTGCATTTGGATTTAAAAAAGTTAATGATTACAAAACGATGAAAATTGTTTTATTCTGATTATTAAGACTTGTCTCCATTGTCTTTATGAAATAGGATCAAAATGAGACCTTTGAATGTGCTTAGCAGTTATTTTTAATTGTTTTGTATGTAAATATAGACCAGATTATCCCTAACTTGGTGTTACAAACTGTTTTAGAAGTCAGTTTTTAATGGCACAGTGATGGGTTTTCATTCGTAGCAGACATCATTAAATATAATCAGGCAATAAGGCAGTAAATAAGGAAGCAAGTATTCAATATCAGCTCATGTGATTACTATAAGAAACAGACTGTCAGTAAGAAATGTACACACTTTATCACTGCAGGCATTTTCTGGGGATCAAACCTATAACCTTGGTGTTGCTAGCGGCTCGCTCGACCGTTTGAGCTACATAAACTGTAGGAAAAACGTAATAAACAAATCAGCTGTTATCATTTTGCTTATTTGTGTAGATCTTTTCACAGTGCATTGTTTCAAAACAGCTTCACAAAAAATGCATGCCTTAAATGTTACAACCAAGAAGCCAGAGGTGAATGTGTCGAGAGAAAAAAAAATCTGTGAAAAAACAAAACTGTGCTGAAAGACGTTTAGCCAAATGTTCACGCTGCTCTCTTCCACATAGTGTAAGTGAAAGAACCGCATTTGTCAAGCAGGATTTTATGGCACATTTATCAAATAATAATGACGCCTAATGGTCACTGCATGCTTGAGTTTATAATTCCTCCAAACAGTGTATATTCTGCAGCGCCGTGTGTCTCCAGCAGGTGGCAGTATGATCACGCTGACGGCGGTCGCTCTGACTGTATCTGTGTGGCGTTTGATTCCTGGTCGGGGATTTGAGAAAGCCAGTCCCTCTCCAGTCCTCATCCTCACTTCTGTAAACCGCATGTGTGTTTGTGTGCCATCTGTGACTGTCAGTCCTTTCCTAGTGTTCTCTGAATTCAGTCTGTCCTCCTCTTCAGAAAGCCTCTGTCTCTCTCACTGTTCTGCTGAATGGGTTTTTCTCTCTTTTATCATTGTTTTGTTGTGGGGTTGTGTTTTGTCTGATCATTGTCTCTGATGCAATCGCGTGCAAACGTTGCTCCTGTGGTGTAGATGTGTGTTTTTGCTCGTCTCATTGGGTTCGAGGTTCTAGTGTGTTGTTTATCTACACACACACACACACACACACACACACACACACACATGTTCTGCAGTAGGTTTGGGGCTGAAGTCTTTCCATGAAATATAACAACAGCCAGATTTGTTCTGTCTCACTGATGTTGCTGTTTCTAGGTGTTTTCTTCCTGTCTGGTGTGAAATGCGGCTCTGTGATGTGCTGATGTTTCGTACTTGTTCAGATTACTATGAGCAATAACAATACCGATGCTTGACTTCCTAAACACCTCGAAGATGAACAATAATATGTAATTATCCTTGGCTTTTCGGCACTGAGTGTCTCTGAACATGAATACATGTACTGATGACACACAGATGCAGGAAGGTGGGCTCCATGCGAGCTCCAGCTTCATCATACTGCGTGTGTTTGTCAGTATCAGACGCGAGAATCAGTCTCTCACTCACACACACACACACACACACACAATCACACTCAGACACACACACACACACACACACACACACACACTCAATCACACACAACTGCTAACGTGCCTGAATTAGGACATAACATGGATTTGTAATGATTTTATATAAAGCTAATTATAATGACTGCAGACTGGCCCAAACCATACTAAAGTGCTTTTAGAAATATACAAGCCTCACATTTCTGCTTTTAAACCCTCTGGCACAATTGTCTTTTTTTTTTCATTTTCATTACAAGTTCATTATTGCAAGCTTGTTTTCTGTTCTTTTTTTTTTTAAATGTGAGACGAGTCAATATTATCTTCTGTGGTAATCAAAAGCATGTCACAGATGCTGTAGAGCTATTTTAATACATATGCTGGATGTGATACAGAATATTCTGTTTAGAAACAGTGACTGACAGACAGACAGACAGATAGCAGACAGACAGACGGATAGATAGATAGATAGATAGATAGATGGATAGATAGATAGAAAGATGATAGACAGACAGACAGATAGACATATAGATAGATAGACAGATAGATAGATAGACAGACAGACAGACAGATAGACAGATAGATAGATAGATAGATAGATGATAGACAGACAGACAGACAGACAGATAGATAGACAGAGAGATAGATAGATAGATAGATAGATAGATAGATGATAGACAGACAGACAGACAGACAGATAGATAGACAGAGAGATA